CCGTGGGCACGGCTGTTTGAACAGTTTTAATAACCTCTGCAGAGGGGGTACACTTTACCCACACGACATTACTAACCCGGATCATCCAGCCCATGCAGAACGGCCACGACTAGAGACCTTAAGGCTTTCATGATAAGGCATTTCGAAAGCCGACACAGGTTCACCATATGCCAACGAGAGGGGTCCCAGACCAACACCAGATTAGGTCCCAGACCATACTGTGCCAGGAAGCCCAGGGGTCCTCCCCGACACTACCCCGGCGAATCCAGATGTCTCTTAGCATCATGGCTCCCCCGATAAGCTAGTTACTCAGCCAGGGGTGTCTCATTCCACCCATGTGGTCGTACTTGTCTTATGTTCGGATGAAATTCCAAGGAAACGGTCCTTAAGTGCAAGAGCGGGAAACCGTACACCCGGTACGTTCCCCGGTCCGCAGTTTTGGAAATTCATTTAGTTCGCAAGCACCGACCTAGGTGTCGGGTTTTCCAAGTCTTTTGTAAAACCCAAGTTTTACCCGAGATGTTTCTCAGATTTTAAGTTTGAAGGCGACCGTCGATACCCGTGCAGAGTGCACGATTACCGAGGCGCAACTAGGTGGGTACAAGGGAATATGGTATAACAATTACAATGGAAGGGTCAAATGCAACAAATTAGGTAGGTCCGCCAATCTGCCTTGCAGACGGGACAAGCAGATTAAGTGCGATCCTATCAATGCATAATATTTTTCAAGCAACATAATTAAGTTCAAATATAGGCTCAAGATGTTCAAAGGTGGCTTGCCTCGCTCGAGATCTTGAGCTTGATCCTCGAAATCCTCGCACTGCGGGTCTTCTGGCTCCGAAACAACATGCGAAATGGGACAACTCAGCAAACGGTGAAAATAAAGCCCTATTATTGACCTCTAAGCGTGCCATTAGATAGATCTCGAGATTTGAGGAATTTTGGAAGTTGAACGGAGTCAAACGGACTTACGGTTGGGAAGATATTGAATTTCTAAGATTATTGGATTTTTGGTCTAAAGGAAAAGGATTTATTTAAATCCTTTTTGAAAAAGAAAAGAAAAGAAAAGAAGGAGGGAGGGAAATTAGACTTCCCTCGGGCGGCTAGGGCGCGGCCCGAGAGAATGGGGCGGCTCGGCCGAGCTTAATGGGCCGGCCGGCCCAAGAAGTCGGCCCAAGGCGCGCGCGTGGGCGGGGAGGGGAGAGAGAGAGCCGGTGGGCCGGGTCCATCCCGCGTGGTCCCGGGTGGGACCCACTTGTCGGCGACTCGGCTCACCGTGAGCGAGGTGCACGCGGGGCGTGCTAGGGTTTGGGGAGGGAGGCGCGGCGCATGCGCGCGGTTCGCGGAGGACGCGGTGCGGCGGGCCCACGCGCAGCCTCACGGCTCGCGGTGGACCGCGCGCGCGAGGGGGCGGAGGGAAGCGGCGGACCGGGGTCTACTTGACCCGGTTGCGGCCGAGGTGGCGCCGACGTGGCGCCTACGTGGCTGCCACGCGGGTCGGCTGGAGGTAGACGACGACACCTGCCGGAACGGACGGCGGACGACAGCGGCGAGCGGCGGAGCGAACCATGGCGATACAGGCGAAGGCGAGCACATCGGGATGTTGCACAGGACGAGGGGAGACGAGCCAACGGCTCGGATTCGCCGGGGGATGCTCGACGGCGGCGGATTGCGGCGGCGGCAACCGGCGGAGAGAAAAGGGGGAAACGGCGATGAGGTCACGAGGGGCCGATTCCCGGCGGTGAGAGCATCTACGCGGCTACGGGAATCCACCCCTTGCGCCGGATTAGGAGGAATCGCATCGAGGGAGGCCGGCGACGAGAGGCGCTTCCGAGCTCGGGCGGCGACGGCGACGAGCACACGGCGAGCGACGGCAGCAGTCGGGGCGGCGCCAGCTAGCTGTGGGGAGGCTACTCGTGCTACTACCCGAGTCTAAGGGTGATGGATTGAGGAGGGAGAACGGGGAGATGCACTACCGAGATGAGGCGGGGCACTGTGACGAGAGGCCGACGGCACGGGAGTGATCTCTCCGGCCTCGGGCCGGGGAAGAGGAAGAAGGCGAGCGCCCGGAGTCCCCTTCCGCGTCCACGAACGCACCGGCTCTCCCGGTGCTTGGCGATGAATGGCGGAGGCGAGACAGAGGGGCGGCAATGGCGCGGTGGCGGCGAGCGAAACGGGAGGAGGAATCGATGGGAGGACGCCTTGGTTTATAGGACGACGATGTCGGTTTGGAAACCGACCTTGGGCGGTCAAGGCACGAGCTGGCGCTCGGCGCTCACGGCCAAAACGGCGACAGAGGCGGATGACGCCGGCGGGGAGGGGAAAAGGAAAAAGGAAGGGAGGAAGGGGGCTTGCCAATTGCCACTTTGGGAAAAGGAGGAGGGGATGGGAGCGATGCGGCAGAGGGGGGAGGAGCTCTGCCTCCGTTCCTTGAAGGCTAGCGCGGGGAGAGGCGGGGCCGAGTCGATGACGATGGCGATGACGGCGGGGCGGTTTGGAGCGGAGCGACGACACGGGCGGCAGGCGCGGGCAGGCGCTGATGGCGGCGGCAACCAGGCGGTCGGCCACCACGGCGCGCGCGCGCGGGAAGCAACGGGCGGCGCGGCGAGAAGCGGCAGCGAGGGCGGAGGGCGTTCGGCTCAGCGCGGCTCACGCGCATGCGTGAGCAGCGCACGGGCAGAGCGGGGGAGAGGGAGAGAGAGAGAGAGAGATAGAGGGGGAGATATAGAGGGAGATGGGTCGAGTGGGATTTGGCCCATCGAACCCGAGGGAGGCGAAATAGACTTTTGCGGAGGGATTTGATTTGGGAAGGATTTGGATTCGGGATTGAACTCGACGATAGATCGGGGATTTGAGATCTGAGATGGCACGGACACTAGACAACAAGCAAAGAAACGGATTTCGCAAATAGGGTTTTTAAGAGATAGTTTTCCCGCTAGGCGCCACGACGGAACGGGCGCTACAAAACGGTTCGGAAACGGATGGAAACTATCTTTATCGTTTTCGTTTTTATATTCTTTTTGGAATCGGAAACCCCGGATACGAAAACGGAATCGAATATTATCGAAACCGAAAACGGAGCGAAAACGAACCGGCGCGAATACGGTAACGAAAATTTATCGGAATAAAAAACCCCTCAAACTAATCTAATTGAATAAATTATCTATATTTAAAATAGTAATGTTGTTGATAAATTCCAATGTAGGACAAAAAAAATATTCTTATGTAATTTTAGATTTGCATAACAAATATTTTTTTAAAAAATAACAGCCAAACACCATGGTGTTCACTATTTAGTGCTTAAAAAAGAATCCAGGGTATTTCAGTCACAAAATTTCTGTTAATTCTGAGAAAATTTCCAGAAATTTCGAGAAAATTTCCATAAAGTTTCCGACCGATTCCGAGTTCCGACGGAAACTGCCCTTATCATTTCCGATTCCGTTTCCAAGAAAATATTTCCAGATTCGTTTCCGTTTCTAAAAAATTCCGACCGATAGATTTCGCTTTCGAAAATAGATCCGGAATCCGGAAAGTTTCCGTACCGTTTTCACCCCTATTTATGAGTACACTGCCAAGTCCAAAACAATTACTCCATCCGTCCCATAATATAAGGGATTTTGAGTTTTTGCTTACAATGTTTGACCACTCGTCTTATTCAAAAAATTTGTGCAAATATAAAAAACGAAAAGTTGTGCTTAAAGTATTTTAGATAATAAAGTAAGTCAAAAAAAATAAATAATAACTCCTAAATTTTTTGAATAAGATGAGTGGTCAAATAGTGCAAGCAAAAACACAAAATCTCTTATATTATGGGACGGAGGGAGTATCAACTTTCCTCTTTGAGAAGAGCAAAGGTGATCTATATATTCTTTTACCAGTGTAAATCATGATCCTCCATTCAACTAAACCGATTTTTGAACATAGTCGTGTCCAGTCATCTCATCCCTTGTTTTTGTCCTTGCTTTTGGATGGTGCAGATGGTGTTGTGCCCTCCTTATCTCCTGTAAACAGCTAGTAAGATATATAGGAAAATCCTAATGAACAAATTAGAAAAAATAAGCTAGAGAGGAGATAAGTGGCATACCTACTCTTTTCAAATCTGTTTGATGAAATGAAGACATGGATAAACTATACACTTTTTAGGCCTCCATGGTTGGAGATATTTCACACCCATTGATGTTTGTGACCAATCTAAAATGGTTCCGTGGTGTATATTACATACCAATATACCATTTTCGGTGTTCTTTTCTCCTGAAGATTAATTTTTTTTACACAAAACGAGGTGGTATTAACGTATGATTGATTGGGTTTTAATTATTACAAACTTAAAAAATAGATTAATATGATATTTTAGAGCAACTTTCATATAGAAAGTTTTCGCATGAGATGCACCGTTTAGCAGTTTGAGAAGAGTGCCATGAAAATCTTAATCTTAATCCAACTCTTGTTGAAGAAAAGAACGGGACCTCATTCTCTTCAGAAGCGTAGACTTCCACATGCTGGATGTGCTCTTCCAAGTTCTGTGGAAATACTTCACCATAGTCTTGCAATGTAATGCTCTGGAGCCCTGTCAGTTCCTCTAAGAGTCTAGAACGTTCACTTTGGGGCATTGGATCATAACAAGCCTGCGTAATTTATGGAGGTTAGCAAAGTATTTCGAGGTTTGGGTTGGCATATTCATGCGACTCGTTCAGAAATTCCAAGTTCCTGATAGGCATGAAGTACAGAAATATTTGGTTTCCTATGTCTTCTAGCATTATAGATCTCCCTTCATCTTGCACAAATCCTTCGGCGATCCACATCTCAATGATATCCACGCGTCTAATTACCTAACCCTTTGGGGGAAAAAAAGGAGCAGTGCATGAAGCATTGTTCCAGATCTGTATGACCATGCAGTGCTCTTCGAAATTTCCTTCCAATCTCTTGGTCTCCTGTTTTTTTGTGCACAGTAGTCCACCAACACTCTTGATTGCAAGCGGCAAACAATCAAACAGTTACACTGTAGTTGCAGCATCTGGCTTCCAATTCATTCCTCAGGCAAAATAGTGGTCTCTAGGCTACAAATCATCCTAGTATTCACTCTTGGAGGACAATAAAGACTCAAATAACCCAAGCATGAATGTAAAACGAGGATCTTATTATGTGAAAACAGTTAATACATCGAACAAAGTTATTTTGACTTCTTCTGTTCAGGTGCTCTTGACCCTATAATACTACAGATGGGTTGTTCTGGTGACTGAAGTAACTTCAGAGCTGGATGGACTTTTAGATCACGCATCAACAGTTTTTGGCCCACGTCCAACTCGCTTAAATCCACCTCAATGTAGGGTGGCACTATGTCAGCAGGGCAGAGATACTTCACAGTTCGTTTTATGGTATTGAAGTAGGCTCCTGCAATTCCAGAGATATTTAATCACATTAGCCCGGAAAACTATTGAAACGAAGTATTATCATCAAACAGCAGGCGAACACATAACAAACAGCTTGAGTAAAATGCAGGATCCTAGCTTAAGAAAAAATTGGCAATCCTATATTACTACTATATAATTGTCGCGCACTAACCGTATTTACGGCTAACAAAGAAGCACCCACATTTTGCCACATTATCAAGATTGTCTGAACCGTTAGATGAACATGGCTATCCACAAATCAGCCATTTGATCAACTTGCCAATCCGGTATCAGGCCCAAAATCACATTTCCTCTCCCCTTGTCAGCCTATCGCTACTCCCCTACATGGCTACTCACATGCTACCAGCACAGGTAGACATCAACTATACTAGCAATGGCACGTGGTGGACAACGCCCACAGACGACTCAGATCAATGCTCCTTTCCCGTTTGCTTCATTTCCACACCTCCCTCGCGATATCCCTTGGTTGGCGCCATTCTCCTAGGTGCTATTCACCCTTCTCCAACACCTGCCTCCACACCTTCCCTGCCTGGATTTGTAACGGTCTTGCCTTAACTACAATGAATATGAGTAAACACCAATTAAAATTTGTAACCCCCACTCCCATTGTTCATTGCTCAATCTAGATTGCCTGTGCATGGCTTTTAGTCCAATGTTCTTTCCTTTTGCTAAGAACCATGCAGCAGAGCAAGGTACCAAGGCACTACCTCAGTTCCACATTGTAAGACGTTTTAGCCTCTCCATCGCTCTTCTAGATTCACTAACATCCATATGAATTTGGACACATGTATAAAGCACATACATGGATCCATGCATGAATCTATTCAAAACCCAAAACATCTTATAATGTGAAATAGAGGGAAGTAGCAGATAGAGATACCCCATATATACATGGTCTCCGATCCAAAGATTCTCTCTTTTCTTAACCTACTAAAGAGTCAATCGCATATATTTTGTTCTAGGCTTTTTCTTATTTCATTTACTGCATGGCAGATTGCTAAATTGGTAGCAGCTATGGTTCTAGGATGCTTGCTTTTACAGAGATTGAAGACAAATTCACAACGGTATACCACTCAAATCGGTGGTAACTTTACTACCTTAGATTTAGCACAGTGAATGGATGATTTTTAGTATGCTTCAATGCTTAATACAGAGGGAATAGAAAATAGAGGTATGCATTTTTCTCTTGCGTTTTCAGGTACCACAACTGTTGCTTCAGGGCATCAGGAACAAGCTCACCAGTCGTGTGCACATTGTGCATAGCTATAAATGTAATATTCCTCCACTTTTTTAAAAAAAGTTTTAGCTGTTTTTTCAGTTCATGAATCGATTTCGTTATACACATAATACCGAACTAGCCTATTCTACTTTAATACATAAGCATCCTAGAGACCGAAAAAACTCTGCTGTATGAACCTCCTAATTAGTTGTTTCCTATACTTGCATAATAACTGAGCATCAGATCCTAAAAATCACAGGCAGCTTCTTTTTCTTAATTACCATTTCTAGACGATGGCACAATTTTTAAGTTGTTTATCATGTTGAATTACGTTTAAGTTGTTCATGTTGATTAAGTCTCGAGTATTTGTTTTGTGAAGTCCGCATTTTGCTCAAATCGCTCCTTTTGCTCTGTGCAATTTTTCCATAGCAATATTTGGGGTGTCATCTAATGCAGGTAATGATTGAACACTGTACATGCCACTATGGGAATGCAAAGTTCAGTATTACAGTGAATTAGTGATCTGTGAGAGAAATGAACATACATGGAACACATAACAAACCATTGAAGAACACTGAATCGGTAGGTGCCGCTCAAGAGAACTGAGGAATTTTCTGGTTAACACTTGATTTAAATTTTAAACAAGATAGATGCATAATCACCAAGCATGCTACATACCTTTCCTAAGACCAGGTGACGCATCGTCCCCAATGAACATCAAAGGAACATCAATTTTGAGCAGTGCCGACGAAGGGGCTCTCATGAATGTCACATTCAGAGGCTCATCAGTGCCTGCATGTAAGTGTACCTGAAAACATAGATACAGACTAATCACCCAAAAATGAGAGAGAGAGAGAGAGAGAGAATATAGATTTCTACATGTCCTGAACTGCACTATTCATGAAAAAAAAACTGCTTCTGCATTGAGATATTATTAGAATTTAGAACCATAGGTACAAGGGCACTCTTGTTGGCATTAGACAAGCTGGATAGATATTATTTGGGGGTCCAGCACTCCTTACAATGTTTTATCATGAAAATTGAGTTTTTTTTTCTTTTGGTCCTTGGAAGTTATCGACAGGTAGAGGTGTATCCTCTTATGTTTTATCTAAATACCTCCTTAACACTAGAATATACTTCTATCTCTATATACATCCCAATTGGCAGCATTTACTTGCGAGAGTTATGCCATATTTTTTTTAAGGAAAAAGACATGCCAATAAAACATGATTGATATTGTGTAAATATTTAAGCCTAAACATTATACACTTTCTGCATACTAGGTTGGGCTATATAAATTGAACCAGGCCAAAGGATACAAGTGGATATTGACCAACTTTCGAGGAAATGCAGAGGTAAAATATTGTTGAACAGAGTAAACAATTACAAACCAAGTAGGAGTAGCTTATTATACTACAGAGTAATGTCAATTTCTCAAATGAATACACCGTTATATTGTCACCAACCCAATCTTATATCCGGCAACAACTTGCTTCATAAACAAAACTCAACATATTCACCTAGAAATGGAGCAACGATGATCCTAAATAAACTTATTGACTCAAATCACAAACATCTAAACTATGTAAACCTGAAAGATTTACGGCTTCATCATGATGCACAGTATAACCATTACTCAAGAAAGCAAATTTTACAAACTACATTGTCGTGAAATCTCTATTCCTATCAGAAAAAAAAAAGGAATCATTTGCCAGCGCCAACATAACAGTGAACCCACCTTACGCGGCAGGACGCGGACGCTCTCGATGAGCACCCCCTGCCCGGCGTGCTCGGACCAGACCTGGAGGCGGAAGAGGCGGGAGAGGAAGAAGGACCGGCCGAGGTGGTCGACGAGCTTGCGGATCTGCTTCGACTGGACGGAGACGAGGCGCTTGTTGCCCCCCTCCTGGCCGTTCTCCTGCTCGAACACGATGGCCGGCACCCGCCCGGCCTTCCGCTCCTTGGCCGCCACGTGGCGTCCCGGGGAGGCCCGCGGCACGGCGAGGATCAGCTCGTCGTGCTTCGCGTCCGGCCGCGGGTGGCCCGGGAGGTAGCCGAACGGCGGCGACAGGAGGTCCGGGTGGTGATCCGCGGGGGACACCTCCGCCGCGGCGGCGGTGGAGAGGTGGGGGCGGAGGAGCGGGAGGGTGAGGGCCCGGAGGGGTCGCCGGAGTAGCATGGCCATGGCGGCCGTCTGCCTGCGTCGGCGGCCGTCGCGGTTGTAAGGTTTTTTTTTTTTTTTTTTCACTCGCGGCCTCGCGGTCGCGGGTATAGGGTTTTGCCGTTTTGGGAGGTGGGGTGGGCCGTGGGCTACTGGGCTGTGAGGGTTTGGGTGTGATGGGCTGATGGCTGCAAGTGTTTGGGCCTGAAAACTTCATGGGTCGGAAGTGAGAAGGAAAAAGTATGCCGAAGGTCCTTCAACTTGTCATTGAGATACAAAATCGTCCCACAACCACAAAACCAGATATATGATATCTCTAAGGTAGCGTTTGGTTGGAGGGATATCCCGGGATGGGATGGGATCATCCCATTTTTAGGTGTGTTTGGTTGAGAGGCTAGAAGGGATGGGATGGCTCTAAAAGGGAATATTCCTTCAATATTCGGGACCGATTCATCCGGGAAAAAGAGGCGGACCGCGCCATCCCACTTCCGCCTCGCGCCTCACTTGTCTCGGCGCGGTAACTCTCGCGCCCCACCACATATTTTCACCGCTTCTCATTTTTCCCTTCGCTCTTTTCTCTCCTCCTCGCGAGTCGCGAGTCCGTTTCTAGGGTTAGGGTTAGTGGCGGCGGCGGAAGCGCACGAGGCGGCGGCGCGAGCAGGGGTGCGGCGGCGGCGGCGCGCGCCAAGCGACGCGGCGGCGCGCGAGCGGGGCGCGGCGGCGGCTCGCGCAGGGCGACGCGGCGGCGCGCGAGCGGGGCGCGGCGGCAGCTCGCGCAGGGCGACGCGGCGGCGCGCGAGCAGGGCGCGGCGCCGGCGCGAGCAGGGCGACGCGGCGGCGCGAGCAAGTGACGCGGCGGCGCGATAAGGGCGAGGAGCTGCGGGAGTAGGGGCAAGCCAGCGGCGCGCGAGCCTCCATTGCCAGTTGCTGCTCATCCTCATCTTCTCCATCCCCATCCACAAACTGCAGAGCTCAGTTTCCATTGTACAAGGTAAAAATACCCTAAACACTGAATGGGGATTTCTTTTATATAGATCTGTGCATGTCTGTTTTTTTTAAGAATGTTGTAGTATAATTATTTCAACAATGTGTTAATTTTTTTGGTAAATTTCTTGACAGTAGATGATGGTCATGTGTTATTTTTGTTGTTGTATTGTAGATGGATAAGAGGACCAAGCTTTTAGTTTGTATTGCTGCTACAAATTTATTGTTATCAATGATGGCCATGATTATTCGGTCTAGGAAAAGAACGAGAGGTTCAAGGAGAGAAGGTATTAGATATGGCCCAATGGCTGAAAGGGATAGGATAAGAATTGAGTACCTAGAAACGAAAATTTGGTTCAATGATACAACTTGTATTGACATGCTTAGACTTAGAAAAGGAAGTTTTTTTCGTTTTTGTAAGCTATTTAGGGATCGTGGTTTACTTGAAGATACCATCCACATGTGTATTGAGGAACAAGTGGCTATGTTTCTGCATACGGTGGGACATAACCTTAGAAATAGGTTAGTCCGCACTAATTATAGTAGGTCTGGAGAAACAGTAAGTCGTTATTTCAACAAAGTCCTTCATGCAATTGGTGAGCTACGAGATGAACTTATCAGACCCCCCTCATTGGACACTCCAACTAAAATAGCAGGAAATCCTAGATGGGATCCTTACTTTAAGGTGTGAGATTCATTCCTATCTCATTTTATATTTATGTGAACATTGATGTATTGTCCCTAATTTTTAATGTTGTTGAACACAAAATAGGATTGTATTGGAGCTATTGATGGCACACATATTAGAGCCTCTGTTCGTAAGAATGTGGAGTCCTCTTTTCGTGGTAGGAAGTCCCATGCCACTCAAAATGTAATGGCGGCCGTAGATTTTGATCTTCGGTTTACTTATGTCCTGGCTGGTTGGGAGGGGACAGCACATGATGCTGTAGTTTTAAGAGATGCTTTGGAACGTGAAAATGGCCTTCATGTCCCACAAGGTAATAGATTACTATAGTTTATCAAATTCTCCATGACAAATGTTGATATTTAGGAATGTGACCAACTTATCGATCATATGATAGGAAAATTCTATCTAGTTGATGCTGGATATGGAGCCAAACAAGGATTCTTGCCTCCTTTTCGTGCTGTCCGGTACCACTTGAAAGAGTGGGGGAATAATCCGGTTCAAAATGAGAAGGAGTTGTTCAACCTTAGACACTCATCCCTCCGTATAACGGTTGAACGTGCATTTGGGTCACTAAAGAGGAGGTTCAAAGTTCTAGATGATGCCACTCCATTCTTCCCATTTCGAACTCAAGTAGATATTGTTGTAGCTTGTGTATTATTCATAACTGGGTCATAAATGACGGAATTGATGAGCTTGTAGCTCCGTCTGATTGGTCAAGTGAGGACATTGATGAATCGTCAACTTGGCAAGCGAATGACCATGCATTGATGGTTCAGTTCAGGCAGGGTTTAGCTGATCAGATGTGGGCTGACCGTAATAACCATCATGGAGTGTAATATGTAGCTATGCAACTTGTATTTCTACCTTATTTGCTACATTTCATTTGTATTATGAACTTCTTTATTTATTTATTTCGTGTGGACAGCTTGTTGTAGTCCATTTGCCAAATCTCAGTTGTATGGATAAATGTATTGTTGTATGCTGAATTTCTGGTTTGATGAATTGATGAATGTTGAATTTCTTGGTTAATATGTTGCTGGATGCTAATATTCTAGGTTGATATGTTGGTGAAAGGTAATTTTTTGGGTTGATATATTGCTGAATGCTCATATTCCCGGTTGATATGTTGTGAATGCTAATTTTTTGGGTTGATATGTTGCTGAATGGTCATTTTCTGGGTTGATATGTTGGTGAATGGTAATTTTTTGGGTTGATATGTTGCTGAATGGTCATTTTTTTATTAGATATATTGCTGAATAGTTATTTTCTGAGTTCATATATTGTTGCATGCATAATTTATTGATATATATATTACTGAATGGACATTTTTGTTTCATTTTATGATAGGTAGGAAATGGATAACAACAGTGGCAAGGGAGGAAGCACCCATGCTTCATGGACCTCAGCTATGTCCTCTTTCATGCTTTCTCACCTAGCTAATGTTGTTGCTGGTGGCACAAGGACCTCATCTGGTTTCAAGGCAGTCCATCTCAATGCATGTGCTAGGGCGGTCAATGAAAGGTTCAATAGTACTCTCACGGGTGAGCAAATTAAGAACCATTTGAAGACATGGCAAAGAAAGTTCTCGAAGATAAATAGGCTTAGGAAAGTGAGTGCTGCTGGTTGGGATGAGAAAAACTTCATTATTACTCTTGATGATGAGCACTATAATGGTTATACTGAGGTATATGTCTTATTTTCTGGGTTCTTTGCTTTATTTTTATAACTTTTTATTGCATTTGCTTATACATTAACTTTTGTTTCATGAAGGATCACAAGGCTGATGCGGATTATTTTAACAAACCTCTTGCACACTATGGTGAGATGCTTACAATATTTGGTAGCACCATGGCTACAGGAAAGTATGCAAAGGACTCAAGTTCAGTCCTAGGAACAGAGGATGTCCAAGATGACAATGATGAAGAAAATGATGGTCCTGCCACTACTGATGATCGTGCGGAGGCATCATCTGCAAGTAAGCCAAAGAAAGCAAAAACACAAGAGAATGAAGATGACGGGCTGATTGGTGCATTCACTAGTGTTGGTGACAAGCTTGCCTCTGCTATACTAAAGGTCGCCGAGCCGGACAATAAGCTTCCAGAAGGTTTATTTGACACATTGAAAACCCTTCCTGGTTTTGAGGAGGTCCATAGATTATTTTACTATGCTCATTTGGTTGCCAACCCTCATATTGCTAGAGCATTCGATGGACTTTCATTTGAAAACAAGATGCATTGGTTTGCTATGTTCATTAGTGAAAAGTTCCCTGGATCAACATAGGCTTCTTGGATGAGTTGGATAGTTCTTTTGGTGTTATGTGTTGTTGGTTGGCTTATTTACCTATTATATGTAAGACTTTAAACTGCCAATATGTTTGAGGCAGAGAACTTACTAGACTTAAAATTGCTATCATGTGCAAGAATTAAAATGTGCTATTATGTGTAAGACCTTCGGTTGCTAATATGTGTAAGACTAAAATTTGCTATTATTATGTGTGGCTTGTATTATATGTGCCCTGTGAAGCCTACTATTGCAGCAATTAGTATCGGCATACATGAAGTTTTATTAAATCTTTTTAATAACCTATGGAGCTATATTGTTTGCGAACAGATTCACAATGGTCATTTTCAAATAGTGTGGTGTTCATGAGTAAGTATTATTTTGCACTGTGTGGTATTCATGACTAGTTGAGGGTAACCTCACCAACTAATATCAATAGGTAACCCTATCAAGCATCCCACCTTCATCCCTCCATCCAAACAATGTATAGGATCATTCCATCCCATTATATACCTCAAACCAAACAAAAAACAGTGCTCGTTCCATCCCTGTAACCAAACAAAAAACAGGATCATCCCATTCCAAAAAACAGGGATGGACCTAACCCATCCCACCCTGTCCCCAAACCAAACACTACCTAAACTTACAAAACCATTTACTTTAGATCCTTCAGTGGTTTTGAGCCGGTTTTATCTGATGTGGCGGCTGAGTCAGCGTAGGACCCACGTAGACCTCACTTTCATTCTCTCTCTCCTCTCTCTCTCTCCTTCCTCTTGCTCTCTGCTCTTGCATGCACGGGCATGGGATGCTGGCGCTAGGGCTGGCGGCCACGGTGGCGCGCGTGGCCGTCGACGGCGGCTCCCAGGGGTCTTAGCTTCACCCAGGTGGCGGTGCGCGGGCTCAGGGCTGCCGAGGTGGCGGGGAGGCTTGGGTGCGGCGGTGACGGCTTCGGGTCCCACAGCACGCCGGCGAGCCCATGACCATGCCGACGGTACAGAACGCGGTGGCGAAGAAGCCTATGACCAGCTGCATCTCTATCACCAGCGCATACATGACGGCGCGGCCGTCGGTGGCGGCGTGCTTGTAGGCGAGCTCGACGAGCGGCAGGAAGAGCCCGTCCAGTACTTCCCGGTGAGACTGTGTTCGCAGGAGGCAGTTTCCAACCCAAACACTGCGCATGGAAAACGGAGCGATCCATTAGCACATAATTAATTAAATATTTACTAATTTTTTTTAAAATGGATTAATTTGATTTTTTAAGCAACTTTTGTATATAAATTTTTTTAAAAAAACACACCGTTTAACAGTTTGAAAAGCGTGCGCGCGAAAAACGAAAGAGAAGGGTTGGGAAAGGGGGCATCCGAGCATATGACAGCATGCTGTGCATGTGTTGTGCAGAAAGCAAAAGGAGCCAATCAAATAGATGAGCTAAATAGTGTAATAGAGCCTTGATTTCTGTTTCTTGGGCTATTTTGGATTACAGAGATTTTTTTGAAATGTTTTGATGATAAAAACAAGCACGATTAATATTCTACACTCTGTTCTGCCTTAATATTCTACTAGAAAGAAGCGTACTTTCTTACATCCTGTTCTTGCCTGTATTTATCTCTTCATTTGTTTCTCTATCTTATTTCATGAATTCATTTACTTGTCTATCTTCTCTCCTAACAATTTTGGATTGGATGATTGATGCTTCAGACAGCCAATGTGTGGTCTTGTCGAGTGACTCTATGTGATGCTTGTTGGTGCTTACCCCTTTGAGGACCCTGATGACCCCAAGAATTTCAGAAAGAACTTTTCGGCTAAGCATTCTCAGATCACAACTTCTAGACGAAGTCGTCAGCGCCGGTGAAGACGCCGAGCCCCACGCCCGCCAGCAGCACGCATCGCGGCGTGAGGAACAGCGGCGCGTCACGGTAACGCGCGCGGCGGCTGAGGTAGGACGCCGATACGGGCACCAGCAGCAACGGTGACGACGCCACGCTAAGGTAGGACGCCGACACGGGCACCAGCAGCAGCACACGCTTTGGATACAACGACGGTGACGTCGTCATCGGGAGCAGCGGCGTAGGTGGAGGCGGAGGCTGAGGCTGACGCTGCGGCTGGTGCTCGTCGCCGCTCCTTCTCCGCACCGGCCTTGCGCTTGTGCGTCGTCGTCGTCGTAACCTCTCTTTTCCCTTCTTCTCTCCCTTCCTACTCTCTCTCTCTCAGTCTTCTCGCAGGCCGGCCAGCAGGGCAGGGCGAGGCGGGGCGCGTCGAGGCCGGCCGGCCGCACCCGACGACACACACGCCCGAGGCCGAGCGGAGAAGGGGCGGCGGCAGGCACTAGCCTGCGTCAGCCTCCGCACCCACATTCGCCACCGTACCCGCGCGGGTCAATGCTTACTCGGCTGCCACGTCGGATAAAATTGGGATAAAAATCGTCTGAGGATACAAAGTAATTCAGTTTTATAAATTGAGAATGACATATATTCGGTTTTGCGGTTTGAGGATGGGTTTGTAACTCGATGACAAGTTGAGGGCCCATCGGTGTACTTTTTCCTTACCCGTTATGGTGGTTCACGTAGAGGCCCATATGTGGTGCTAAGCCCCAATTTTAGTTTGGAAGAAGTCCAATTGGACTCCCTCAAGTCTTGGCCGTGTGTTCGGCAGTGCAGGATGGGAACCCATCCTCTTACACGTAAAACGGAATGGCCTCTTAACATGTGATTAATTAATTATTAACTATTTTTTTAAAAAAATGGATCAATATGACTTTTAAAACAACTTTCGCATAGAATTTTTTTTTTGAAAAAACTCACCGTTTAGTAGTTTGAAAAGCGTGCACGCGGAAAACGAGAGAGGTGGGTTGGAAAGATGGAGTGCCGAACTCAGCCTTAATCTGCTTCTATTTACTCGGTCTATAGTTGAGGGAGCTAAAATTAACCTTTTTGTCCTTTTAAGTGGCCTAAGGGTGTGTTTGAGGAGGAGGAGATTGGGGAGATACGCAAAACGAGGTGAGCCATTAGCGCATGATTAATTGAGTATTAACTATTTTAAATTTCAAAAATGGATTAATATGATTTTTTAAATCAACTTTCTTATAGAAAATTTTTGTAAAAAACGCACCGTTTAGTAGTTTGGGAAGCATGCGCGCGGAAAACGAGGTGCTTTCTCACCCTATCTAAAACAAACGAACGCAGCCTAAGCCCTCTAACTAACAATACCATAGTACTGAGGTTATACTTGAGGTCATAAGACAGTGCTCGGTTTTAACTGGCATGATAAGTTTATTGTGATCAACCCAGTAAATGTGAAACCCATATAGACCCCAGATGTTAGCAACTTAGGGGTGTTTGGATTCAGGGACTAAACTTTAGTCCCTTTCATATCGGATGAATTAGGAGTATTAAACATAGACTACTTATAAAACTAATTACATAAATGAGAGCTAATTTGCGTGACCATTTTTTTAAGCCTAATTAATCTATAATTAGCGCATGTTTACTGTAGCATCACATAGTCTAATCATAGATTAATTATGCTCAATAGATTCGTCTCGCGAATTAGTCCAGGGTTATAGACTGGGTTTTTATCAATAGTCCACGTTTAATATTTATAATTAGTATCCAAACATCCGATCTGATAGGGACTAAAAAAGAGTTTTAGTCCCATCCAAACAGGCCTTAGTCTTTTTTTTCTTCTCTATCTTTATTCTCTTCCCCATCTCTCCAGACGAGGAAAAGGGTGGGGTAGATGGATCTGATGTTGGTTGATTTTTCGGATTGAGCCCACAAGTCCGATCTAAAGAGATAGATAAGAACGAAGTTAGTTTTTGTTAGAGTATATGGTAGTTAGAGTCATATTAGGATGTGATTGGTTTGTTTGGATTCCTTCAATATCTGTAATCCTTCCTTATCTCTTCCCCCATATACTCCTATATATATCGGCCCCCTGAGGCTCAATACAGTGGTCCAATATTCGCAGTATCCTCTCTTCCTATACTATCCAACATGGTATCAGAGCGGGCAATCTAGCGCCGCTCTCACGCTTTCGCCGCCGCTGCCCCTGGGAGTAGCGATTTCCTGGGGGCGGCCACCCGTTTTTTTATTTTTTCTTCCTCGTCGCTGTCGTCATCGTCTTGGAGAGATCGATCTCCACGACTGTTCTTCGTCGAGTCTAGTCGTCGTCAAGCAGCAGCAACAGATTGCATCTCCTCTGTCGACCTCCGTGCCTGGCGCTCTTGTATCGCCGTCAGGCCGCCCGTCGTCGGCTTCATCTTTAGCGTCCGTTCTGCTCCGCCGGCCTCACCGACAGGCCCTGCCGTCGCCGTCGCCTCCATTGGCCGACGATCGCGCCCCGATGGACAGACGGACGACGCAGCTCGACTGCTCCACCTCCGGCACCGGTCTCTCCTTGCAACCCCCGACTCCTCCGTCTCCAGCACCACCGTCGACGGGGGGACGAGCTCCCGGCACTGCTTCTCCGCCGCCGGTCCTCGCCTACCACCTCGCCTGTCCTGCTGAGACCATCCTTCGCCGGCTCACCGGACGTCCACCGCTCGGGACCACTAGGATCTGAGGCCGCCGGTGCCGGCGCCGGCGCTCGCCGGCCACTGGGTCCCCTCCACCCGGCGCCACCCCGTCCCCGCCTGGAGGGTCGCGGCTGTTGCCGTCTCCTCGCCGGCCGGCTGAGTCATCGTCGACCTTTTCTGTCTGCCTCGCCATCAATCTGCCGCTTCATGTCTCACTTTTCTATCTGTCTACGCGTGTGTGGATGGATAGGATTGGGGAGAGGGAAAGGCATTGGATGGACCGGTCAAAGGATTGCTACTTGATGACTTTGGTCCCTGCTGTGTGGTGCACAAGGTGGCGTGGACTTGGTCTATGGACCATGTGTGAGAGGATGAGCTGCACAGGTGAGCTTGCTACTGATGCTGTTCTGCTGCTACATGTATCCTTGTTTTTTTTTCCCGTTTCAAAAAACGGCTTTGCGTCGCCCACCGCCTCGTCGACATCCACGCGTCTCTGACATCGGCATCGACTCTGCTTCAACTTCATCGTTCCGCCTCACGCATATTCGGCTTGATCACCCGTTCAAGCGCCCGGCTACGACGACTTCTGCAACCGATTGTCATCAAGCACGCGTCTACGCCATCAAGCTTTGGGGTGCCGCTGCGTTCGCCCCCCTCGGGTCGCAGTGCCGCTGCCTGTGGTCCACACCTCCACTGGTTGTTGTAGTGCTGAGAGGCGCCCTCCTCAGCACTTCTACATCACCGGTGGACTTCTTGCCGCTGCATCGACATGGAGCTGCAGCTGTGTTGTCCTCTCGGACCGCAGCTTCGCCGCTTTCGTCGTCTTCATCGCCGTTCGCGCATCGACAACCTCGTCGTCCGCACTGGTCATCGTCAGCCGCTCAGGGTCTTCTTCCTCAACTTCGAGCATCGCCGCCGCATCTTCAAGCTGCCACTGTCACCACTCTAGGCCGGTAGTCCAGCTACCTCTACATGGCTACCGACGTCGCCGTCCAGGTCGTTGGTCCCGCTACATCACCTTCTACTTCGTCCAACATGATTCATCGCCAGCGTCGCCATATCTTCCTCGACTACACTTCGCTCTTCTCCAGCAACTGCGTGCTGCTCCGACAATTCTCTCTCTACGCCGTTCTCGCGCCGCGACCGTCTCGGAGGCCTTCCCTGCTAGTCTCCTCCGACATTGGCGTATGATTCATGGTGGTCCCCTGTCTCGCCCGCGCGGTATTGGCAACACTGTTGCGTGCGTTCGTCCAGAGTTGTCCCCGGGTCTGGCAAACTCTGTGTGACGTCTCGTCCTTCACGGTTCGACTACATCGGCTCTTCGGCGTCATCTTCCTCAACGACTACCGCGATTGTGTCACCGTCTTCGTCTCCAGCGCGTCCTCGCGCACCTTAGTCCACGACGCCCCTCCCGTGCGTCCACGACCACTCTACGGCGCCCCATGCGCGTCCTGCGGCTCGGCTAACTCGACATCAGCTTCCCGACTTTGGCTACATTGACCACGGCTACTCTGCGCACGGCTACCTCGACCACGGCTCCCTCACAACCTTTGCTTTGGCTACGTCGACTATGGCACAAAGGGCTATCATCCGTATTGAGCACTCTTGCCGGTTTCTTCTCCAGTCCAAGTGTCCGCACTGCTCACGCTTGGACTGCGGGAGGATGTTAGAGTATATGGTAGTTAGAGTCATATTAGGATAGGATTGGTTTCTTTGGATTTCTTTCATATCTGTAATCCTTCTTTATCTCTTCCCCATGTACTCCTATATATATCGGCCCCCTGAGGCTTAATACAATGGTCCAATATTCACAGTATCCTCTCTTTCCATACTATCCAACAGTTTTATGATCGGTTAAAACTAATTTCGAATCTAAATTCGATGAGAAGATCGGGATAATTGTCGACCTAATAATAGCAAAATAGTTAAATTTCCCAACAAAAACTCATCACATATGGGTCTCACGTGGATTCTACATTTTATTTTTCTGATTGTAAATGTCAGGGCGGACGAATACTATATGCCACGTGAGCTAATAAGATTTTAATACTACCTTGAAACTACATTAATTTACATTGATTTTAGGAAATGAGGATCGATAGATGAGGGAGTGGACGTTTTCCGATCGTGGGAAATGTGGGATAGGAGAGGTTAAGACTTGAGCGTGGATTTGGGTCGTGTGGAGAGGCGATCACCAGTTGGGTGCGGTTTCCTTCCACGCTTGGGCTCGAACAACTGACGCGGTGTCGTTAAAGTTGCTCGCCTCGCTCACACGCCGCTTCGGCTTCTCTCAACTACTGTTTGCTTCGCCGCCGTCGCTGGCGGCAAACCGCCATGCCTCGTCGTCGAGGAACCCCTCTCCCTACTATCCTCCTCCTCCTCGCGTTCGTCGGCGGCGCATGCGGAACGGAGATCCTCTCCAAGTCCCGCCTCGAGAGCTGCTCCCACGACTCGGATGCCGGCGGCCGCCTCAAGTGCGACCGGAAGCTCGTCGTCGACCTGGCCGTCCCCAGCGGCGCCGTAAGCAAGCAGCGCCCTCTACTCCGTCCCGTCTTTCTGCATTTCAGATTCCACCACAATCAGATCAGATTGTGCGTTCTGATCAGATTCTTCTTCTTCTTCTTTCTCGCAGAGCGGCGGCGAGGCGTCGCTGGTGGCGCGGGTGGCCGGGGTGGAGGAAGAGAACGACACGCCATCGGCGACGAAGAGCATCCGGGATCCCCCCGTCATCACCGTCAGCAAGTCCGCCACCTACGCGCTCTACGCCCTCACCTACCTCGACAGGGTATTTACTTAGTGACTGTTTCATCAAATCAAGTGTGTACTTCTTAATGCTCTGTTACTCAATCCCTTTAATTTCTCCTTTGCTTTCTCTCTTCAGGATGTTGCTTACAGGCCTGACGAGAAGTATGTCAAAACACACAAATGTGAACCATATGCCGGTGCTAAAGTTGTTGGAGAGTGTGAAAGGTAACACATTTCCATGCTTCTTGTTGATGCATCATCATTAATTAACGGCCTGTCAAAATCAATTTTTACATAATTACATGACCGTCTCATCATTATTATAAGCGGATTTTTTTATAGTCCGCCAGTACAAAGTAAACCTAAAGTGTCTAGGCAAATCGTTCTTTAGTGCTCCCTCCGTCCCAGAATATAGCAACCTAGGACCGGATGTGACGTATCCTAGTACATGTCCAGATTCGTAGTACTAGGATACGTCCCATCCGGTCCTAGGTTGCTATATTCTGGGACAGAGGGAGTAGTGTTTGTAGAGTAATTTCAAATGTGTTTGATGGCCTCTTTATTTGAAAAAAAAAGACGTGACTAACCTTTTCGTAGATCCTTGTTCTTTGGGTTCACAACTATAAACATTCTTATTTGGCATTCTCTATGATGTTTATGTTATACCAACGTAATGGTGCCTTTTAATTTCCATGACTACGGTTAGGTTATGGGATGAGAAAGGCAATGTAATCAAGCAAACAGAGGTGAGTAACATCATACTTATATGCTTATTGTTACCTGGTATATTGATATACAATAATATTAATTTTCTTATTCTGCATGGTTGAGTCTAACCTTCTTTACTGAAAAATCGTCTCCCAATTTAGCGTCCATGGAATGCCATGTTCCCATGCTAACCATCGGATCTTAAATAGATGTTTTAGTTAGCCACATTTTGGTTGAAATGGTAGAATTTAGTTGAAATATAAGTAACCCCTCTGTTTCATATTTTAAATCGCTTTTGACCTTAATTTTAGTTTATAGAAAAAATTATCAACATCTGAAACACCAAATTAGTTTCATTAAATCTAAAAATAAATATATTTTGATAATATGTTTGTTTTGTGTTAAAAATGTTACTGTGTTTTCCTATAAACTTGATCAAATTTAAAAATAGTTTGACTAGAAAAAAAAATCGAAACGATTTATAATATGAAACGGAGAGAGTATATTTTCTTGAAAAGGTAACTCACAAGACATGTTTCATGCCTCCTTCAGAAATTTTTAGTCTATAATTGTTTGTTGGCAGTAGGAATCATTTAAGTGACCTCGCAGGAAAGTGAAGGCAATATGCTAGTATTAATGGCACATATATTTCAGGGAAGGCCTTTGTTTGTGCTTTTACTTCTATACACATGGATATAATTTATAATCTTGTTATGACGCTCACTTTTTCCTCTACGTTGGCTTGTACTAGCCTATTTGCTGTCCATGTGGGCCTCACCGTGTACAATCGAAATGTGGAGACATATGTAAGTCCATAAATTATGTTATTCTTCTGGATGTTTTTCTGCACACTACCTAACACACCATCACACTCATCTACTTTATAGGGTCTAAACTGACCAAAGGAAAAGCTAATACGGCTCACTGTGTGCGATTTCCAGGCGACTGGTATGGAATTACTTGTGATGTACTTTTTTTGTATATTGCTTTTGTAATCAATAATCATTAACTTAGTGATTCCTTGACTCGGTGTACTGACTTAACTGAAAATAAAGGTTAATGTCTTGGCTATACTTCTTGATCGGAATGTTAATTGTCTAAACTTGACTAGTGGCATGATTTATAATGTGTTTTGTTGATCAGGCATGATTTTATTTGTTTTTGGCCAGCTGGGCATCCATCACAGAAGTATTTTTTTTCATATTCCAAAACCTAGTTTACTTCTTCTGAAGTAGGGGACACTTTCCAAGGCACTCTTCTATAATTCCAGGGTATCCTTTATTATTTGTTTATGATCAAATTGAGTAAATGCATCCCTTTGTTTTCTTATGAGCAGGTTCCATGTATTCGGAATTGGAGCATGGTCACTTCGGTTCAGTATCAGAGTACAAGTGAAGAAAGGATCTTCTGTATGGGTATGATTTGAAATACTTCATTAAGAGTTCCATCAAGCTATTATCACTGAGGACTCCTGAATAAATTATCAGATGAACCGTCTTGGCAATTCTTCAAAGCCTTAAGCATAAATAGCCATGATATGAACGGATGAAGTTTAGCAGCCTTGTTGAATTTTGTGTTGTTAAATTCGAGATTATCTTGCTTTTTTTAGGAACTAAAATTTTGAATGTTTATGTTTTTGGGTATGCCAAGCCTCAGAAGTGTTTTTACAATTTTTCTTTTCCAATTTTACTGCAGGATGTTGTTGTTGGTCCAGAGAATAAAACTGTTGTTTCTGGAGATAACTTTCTGAGAGTAAAAGTTGTTGGTGATTATACTGGTTATACAAGTATCCCATCATTTGAGGACAACTATCTTGTGACTCCACGGAAGGTGCATCATCAAATTATGATAGTCATCCTGACACTATCAATATATTTGTAATTTCTGTTATGTGACTTTAAAACATTATTGAAATGTGCTATATGTGCTGAAGGGTACTGGTAGTAGTCAGCCACAAGACCTTGGTAATGAACATTCCAAATGGATGATATTGGACAGAGTTCGTTTTACACTAGACGGGCTTGAATGTGACAAGATTGGTGTTGGTTATGAGGCTTATCGAAACCAACCTAATTTCTGTTCAGCACCATATGGGAGCTGCCTGGGAAACCAGCTTTGGAACTTCTGGGAGGTAATTATAGAATTAATTAGTTGATTCCCTGTGCTTTGTTACGGGATGTGTGGATGAATGCATGTTATACATTATAGAAATGATAGATGTATATGTTTAAATAATGTGAAAATGATGTGGAGATAATGATTTGACATTATCTGCATATTGAGTTCTAAAAATACAACAAAATTATAAATGATACATCATGTTTGCATGATATTTAAAATACTCTAGTTAATAATTGGTAGTGGGTGCTGATGTGGCATACTCGCATGTGATTTAAAATACTCTAAATAATAATTGCTAGTGGGTGATGATGTGACACACTTGCATCTTGAGATTTAGAAGTTAGTGGGAGTCAACTATATAGATAGTATAGATGTGCCTAGCCCTATTATTTTATTCTTTTCCTTTTCACCAAGATAGGAAATCATGTTGCCAACAAAAGAGCACAACAGAGAAATATTGCCTTTCTTGGCTACCACTGGTTATGGAAAATTAAGTGTCACGAATGGGCCATCTTCTTTTTTTTTCTTTTCATCCTAAGTCATATTGTAAATTTTATCTCTTGCTGTTACTAATTTAATACTGAAGCACTTCTTTTAGTTTTCATTCTGGTGAGATCACCACAAGATAAAAAGTGTTTGGTGCCTATTGAGTCTTGAAAGATGTCACGGTTTGTTTCAGTATGACAAAAGACGGATCGACAACAGCCAACTGCCCCTATATATTGTGGAAGGAAGATTTCAGAGGATTAATCAACATCCAGTACATTTCCATCGCCTCTCTTACATTGCTCTCGTTGCTAATGTTGGATAAAGCTTCTAATGCATGCCCCTATAGAATGCAGGTGCTCATACATTTTCTGTGGGTGTCACAGAAGATCTTAATACCAATTTACTGATAGAGTTGATGGCTGATGATATAGAATACGTCTATCAGAGGTAATAATGATGTTTAATCATTTTGATTTAACAATAACCACTTAGATTTATATTGGTAGATTAAATCACACTTTTCAAAGCAGATGCTATCAATAAAATTTCTCTAAACCATACTTTTCTCTAAATTTCTGCCATGTTTGACAAACAGTATGGAAACAATCATCTCTGCTCTAGTTTTCATCTCTGAAGTCTTGCTCTTGTACATTTCTCTGTCTTTTAAATTAGTAGAGTGTCTAATGTGTTGCACTTCCTTATCAGGAGTCCAGCAAAGATAATTGACATTCGCGTTCCAACATTTGAAGCCTTAAGCCAAGTTGGTATAGCAAATGTCACTACTAAAAATATTGGTAAACTGGAGTCTTCATATAGCTTGACGGTATGTATCTCTTATAGAATTTTCCTTGCCGTGTGTATTTTTTTTCTTTAATGTAGTCCGAGTTCAAAGTAGTACGAACTGACCTGCAAATTAAGGCTGACTTTGATTTTCTTGAAACTTAACCAGTGTTTGCTACTTTTGTAGTTTAAATGCTCAAGTGGTATCAGTCCTGTGGAGGTAATATTACTAGTATCATCTAGTACATGTTTAGTGCTTCGGTATGCATTGTTTGTTTCTACTTGTCCTCTTTTTATGCATTCCAAATTTTACTTGAAGACCTGCTTCGGTAGATTTAAACCTTTTTCAACATTTTATTGGTCAAGTAAACGTATAGTTTCATTCCATGTAATCAGTAAAGCTGCCTGGCTATTTTGGACAGTCTATTTTCCTTTTAAGTGGAATATTTGGGACATTTGTTCCAACTCTATCATGTTTTATGCCTCATTTTACTGTTTATTATCCATCATCAAACTTTCCTGCTTTATGTTCTCACTGGATTCAGTCTCTTGAAGTTTTCCTGGCGTGGTTTTCAGGAGCAGCTCTATACCATGAAACCTGATGAAGTGATTGCCCGATCATTTGAGTTGCGTTCAACAACAGATCAAGCAGCAATGCATCAATGTGAAGGTAATAGAGCTTAGCATCAGTTGTGCTGTCAATGATCCCGTGTTAGGACTCACATGGCAGGCATGCCTCTAAGTTCCATTTCAGCTATTCTGAAGGCATCAGACTTTAGTGAACTTGACAGAGAAGGATACCGTTTCTCTACCGCAGCTACGGTTTATAACAATGGAGCACAGGTTCTGAATATTTGCGCTTTCTTAATGATTCTGATTGAACTGATTAGTGCAGAAAAAACTATATCAAATTTGGATTCAATACCAAATGTCAATCTCTATGCTCTTTGGGCTAAAAAGAGAACTATTAAAACTTTGTCGAATTTGGATACAATATCAAATGTCAGTCGTTATGCTCCTTTGGCTAAATAGAGAACTATTAGATGCTTTTATAACCAAGTCATACATTATCATCTCGTGTAAAATTATTATGAGTATAAATAATGAACTCAGCCACGATTATTATGTATTCTCTGAACAATTAAATCCATTCGTTTTTGCCGCGAAGTTCCGATGCTTAACTTGCCTTGAAAACTCTGTAGATCGGTCCAACGAATGACCACAAGAAAGGCGGCTTCTGGGATTCCATCAAAGCTTTGTGGCGTAACCTGATCGATTTCCTTACTGGCAGATTGTGCTGGTACTTCAATTCTTTCTAGTGTGATCATAACATGGTTTTATATTTGCTGAGTGTTCATCATTACTAGATAGTAATTGTTTGTGCTAGCTCTGATCATTGTTGATACAGCATAAGTATTTTTGTTCCGTTTTCTGCTTCTTACCATATATCATCTCGGTTCAGGACCAAATGCCCGAGATTGTTCGACTTCGGCTGCCATATTCAGTACGTATGCATCGGCTGGATCCTACTGCTTCTCCTGATACCCGCAGGTACGTTCGTTAGCCTTTCAGTACCGTTCGTTTCATCGCCAGATCGATCATCAAGCTGCCATTGCTCATCATTTTTTTTTTCTTACCTCAATCTGTCATTTTTGCAGCTGTGGTTTTCCTGTGGCTTCTGCATCAGGAAGGCTTGTTCGACCCGCTGTACGACTGGTGGGGGCTGGAGCCGGACGACGACTACCGCGCGCGCCGACGGCACCAGAAAGGGCGGCACCACCGGCACCATCACGACCACCGGCACCGTCACGGCCACAGCCACGGCGACCACCACCACCACTACCACGGCGGGCACCACCAGAGGCGCAGGCACCACCACCCACCAGCGTGGGATGTGGAAGGCCACCACCACGACAGGCAGCAGCACAGCCACGAAGCGGGGCGCAACCACCACCGTGGCTACGGCGAGGTGGTGGCCGCGGGCGCGGCGCCGCTGCGTTTGGACAGGGCGAGCCGGCCGGGCCAGACGGAGGTCGACGCCGTGGTGGAGTACAGGGAGCGGAGGAGCCGCCACGAGAGGCACGGCGGGCACGGGCACCGCGACGGCCACTACTCCCCGTCTGTGTAAGGGATGGCTCTGACAGTCTGACGCATCTAGTGTACGTGGGATTGACATTTGAGTATTCACCAGCGATCTCGTGGTGGACTTTTCAGTCAGTTCTTGACATTGACGTTTGCCTTGTACTAAAGCCAACGTGGACTTTTAATACCCTCCGTTTTTTAATAGATGACGCAGTTGACTTTTTTCATATGTTTGACCATTCGTTTTATTTAAAAATTTTATGCAGATGTATAAGATATATATCACAACTTAAAGTACTATAAGTAATAAAACAACTCATAACAAAATAAGTTATAATTATGTAAATTTTTTGAATAAGACAAATGGTTAAACATGTGAGAAAAAGTTAACAGCATCATCTATTAAAAAACGGAGTTAGTATGATAAATCAGATCATTTTACACTACATCAGGAATATAGGCCGCCCGCGTCGTCCGCAAGACCTGCTATGCTTATGTTAGTACCATTTGTTTCTATGCTGTTCGATATGGCATATACGGTTTTGATGCAATTTGCTGATTTCCTTTTTCCTATTTCCCACTACTAGATAGTGGGCATAAATCTCACGATAAGTCCCAAAGATTCATATTGAACTTCAATCGGAATTTCTCTTAACCCAATGACACGCTGATCTAGTTTTCATCGGAGCCACTAAGTGACTGTCTAAACAGATTTATTTCTGTCTATAAGCTCCCACTGCATTATAGGAACTAGAAAAAAAAGGAGATTTTTTTATCTTTCGCATACTTAGGATTATTATTATTGTAATTTACCTTTTGGTTTGGATAGTTTTTGCAACTATTATATCTATTTGCACAAATACCTCGATGGTTCCTAATCGTTAATAGTCTGATAAGTATATCTTGGGTTGGTTCGCAAATAGGATCCCTAATAGTGGAAGATAGGAGATTCACATCAGAAAACATAAGTAAACGAGCTTCCGCCTAAGCTTCCAAGGATAAAGGTAGATGAACAACCATTTGATCCCCATCAAACTCCGCATTCACTACTACACAAACGATTTTTTTATATGAAACCCCATGATTTTTGCAAACGGACCATAACTTGCCGTGTCTGGAAAAATCGAGCGGCATTTTTGCATACGGCTCCTTAAGACGTCCAGATGGAAAAATCGATTTTCCCATACGGGCCACTTAAAATGTCCGCATGCGGACCACTTAAGAGCCCGCATGGAAAAATCGATTTTTCCATATAGACGTCTTAAGGAGCCATATGCATAAATAAAAATTTAAAAATTTAAAACTAGTTTATCTCACTCATATGATCTCCAAATTGGATGATTATTTTTCCTAAATGTTTCTAAAATCATGCTCTATCATGTTATTGTGTTATTGCTGCTATTATTTTGGCCATTTTTTCTTGTGACTTCGTTTTATCAATTAAAAATTTGAATTTCAAAACTTCAAATAATATTTTGAAGCAGTAAATAATTTTAGCTGAAAAAGTCATCAATAACAAAGTTGTATAGCTCATCAAGATCTATAACTTTTATTTTGGTCATTTCTTCATCCGATAAAGTTATAGTAACATTTTCAAAAAAATTACATATCTCTCTTATATTTTATAAAACCATATAAGATATGTAAATTTTGTGAACAATGTTACTATCACTTTGTCGGATGAAGAAATGACTAAAATAAAAAATTTATAGATATTGACGAGTTATACAACTTTGTTGTTGATGACTTTTTCACCTGAAATCATTTAGCATTTCAAAATGTTGTTTGAAGTTGTCATAATTTGAAATTCAAATTCAAATTGTTGAAACAAAGTCATATAGAAAAATGACCGAAACAAAAGTTGTAGATCTTGATAAGTTATACAACTTTGTTATTGATAGTTTTTTCATTTGAAATCATTTACTACCCGAAAAATTATTTGAATTTCTTATATTTTAAAATTCAAATTTTAGATAGTTCGATCAAACTCGGATGGAGAAATGACCAAAAGAAAAATGATAGATCTCAATGAGTTCACAACTTTGTTTTTGACAACTTTTTTACATGAGTTGATTTAGTACCATAAAAATTCGATTCGAATTTCTCATATTTTTGCATGCGGGCCCTTAAGAGGTCCGCATCCAAAAATGCCACCCCAATTTTTTCATCTCTGTCGACGAGTGGTTCTCGTGGACCGGATGAGTTGAGTATTGGGGTACGTTGGAACGAGGATCTACATAGTACGACATCAAGCAGACAAAAGACAAGGATTATACTGGTTCAGGCCCCTTATCAGGTAATAGCCCTAGTCCAGTTTATATGAGATTAAAGATGGAGAACCACATATTACAAAGAAAGTAGACGAAATAGACGATACCGACAAGATCGTAGTCGGTGTACCCGACGAGATCTCCCGGTGACTTGGCTCCGTATACTCCGTCTTCGTGAACTATGGTGGGTGTGTAGACGATAAAATTCGATGCCTTGCACCCCTCACTGGGGGTCCCTTTTATACCGTGGATCATCTTGATCCCTAAGTAAGGCCTGGAGATATTTGATCTGGTACGGTATAAAAGAATCTCTATCCCTTTCAAGTAGGACTTTGGTAAATCACTTATCTCGTAAAGATATTTCCGTAATTTGGAACAAATCCCTACAACGTATACGGAAACGATCCGTATACGTGAAGGTATACCATATCAGTATATTCTATAAGTCGTAGGATATGAGGTATGCCTTATCTATAACCCTGACAATCTCCCTCCACTCTCTTTTCCCTCCCACCACTTCAATTTTTTCCAACCCATCTCCTCTCTCTTTCCCCTTCTATTATTTTACTCTCCCCCCTCTCTCTCTCTTTCTCTCCTCTCCTCTCTCTTTTTATTCTGTCCTCTCCCTCTCCCTCTCCGAGAGCGGGCGCCAGTGGCCGTGATGGCGTTGGCGGGTGGCGGATCCGGTGGCGCCGCCCTCAGGTGGGCCGGATCTGCTGCCCTAGGGAGCGGCTCCGGCTAGGCGACGGCAGACGCGCAGCGGGGGCGGCGGAACCGGCGAGTGGGCGGCAACGCGGGTGGCGGTCTGTGATTATTGTTTTTGATATTTGGAGATTATCATCGAAGTGGTTTTGGGGATAATCAATTTTCAGGTGATGAACAGGGTTTGCTGTTTTGTCGGGACCGGTCAGACCAGGCGGAGGTTGCCGGTCAGACCGGTGCTATGTGTGCGGTCAGAACGGCCAGGCCCGTGGTCTGACCGGCCGACGCTGTGTTGGTTTCGGTTTCGGGTTGTTTCTTTGGATATCCGTGATTGTTTCATGGTTATGGCTTCTAGATGGATACTATACGTATGTAATACTGTTGTTTGCTACTAATGAGTCAAGTTGGAGTTAGCTTGGTCTTGGAATATGGTTTCTTTGTTTGTTTCATGTGTAGGTGACTCGATGCCTCGGGAGAGTATTTGCGGTGATGGACCGGGAGTCGGCTTGGTGGTAAGACGATGGAGGTTGATGCATGTGGTTGATGGAGATTCCATATGGCATATGATGGAGGTATTGTGTGCGTATGGGATGCGGAGTCGAATTTGGAAGGAGTCCAAATTTGATACGATTGGTTATGTAAAGTTTGTTTCTTGTACTAGAGGGTTTACTAAGGTGTTTAGGACGCTTAGTATGAGTTTGGTTCGTGGCTTTAGCTGCCTACCTCATGTATAAATAGAGGGGGAGCGTGAGGCTTCCCGGTATCCCTTTTCGTGTCGCTTTTCATAGCGTTGTGTCTTAGGGTTTCGAGTTTAGTCGAGATTTTTGTAAGGAGTGCTGTTGTTGCACTTTGTAAACACAGAGAGAAGTAATAAAGTTGTCATCTACTTTGAGAGTTCTTCAATTTGTGTTTCACCGGGTTTCGGCGGTCTAACAGGCAACTCATCGGCAGTCAGACCGGCGACATGAGGCGGTCATACCGGCGGGAGCGAGGCGGTCAGACCGGCGGTGGCAGCAGGTGTGGCAGGCGACTTCGGCGGTCAAACCGGTTGATCAATATCGGTCAGACCGGCGGCATCCGAGCGGTTAGACCGGCAGATCAATATCGGTCAGACCGACTTCCGTCGAATTCGAGGGTAACTTTTATTTCCACTAAAAGTTTTCGGTTTTTGGGTATACCAACCATTCACCCCCCCTCTGGTTGGCTTAGTTCTTGTGATTCAATCCTACAAGTGGTATCAGAGCCTTGTTTGCTTTTTTGGATTTTAATCGATCTAGAGTTTTTGCCATGGCTACTCCTGCTAGGTTTTCAACTAAGCCTCATGTTTTCGATGGAACAGATTTTTCTCATTGGTGTAGTAGGATGCAATCTTATATTATGGCTGAAGATTATGATATTTGGAGAAAAGTTTCTCATCCTTATGTGATTCCTGAAGCTATTAATACTGCTGCTGAAAAAACTGTTTTTGAACAAAATTGCAAAGCTCGCAACATTCTTTTGAGTGGGATTTCTCGTTCGGATTATGATCGTGTTACTTATCTTCAAACTGCTCATGAGATTTGGATTGCTTTGAGTAATTTTCATCAAGGTACAAATAACATTAAAGAACTTCGTCGTGATCTTTTCAAAAAGGAGTATATTAAATTTGAGATGAAACCTGGAGAAACTTTGGATGACTATCTTTCTCGGTTTAATAAAATTTTGAGTGATCTTAGATCTGTTGATTCCTCTTATGATGCTAATTATCCATAATCTGAGATTTCTCGCCACTTTTTGAATGGTCTTGACATGTCTATTTGGGAGATGAAAGTTACATCTATTCAGGAGTCAGTTAACATGTCTACCTTGACTTTGGATTTGCTTTACACAAAATTGAAAACTCATGAGATGAATATTCTTGCTCGTAAAGTTGATTCTAAGTCGTGCTTTGGTTTCGTTTCGACTTCTTTGGATGTTGGTGCTTTCTTGCTTTATTTAATGCCATGTCTGATGATCAACTCGAACAGTTCGAGGAGGAGGACTTGGTTTTGTTATCTAACAAATTTTCTCGAGCTATGAAAAATGTTAGGAACATGAAAAAAGGAGAACCGAATCGTTGTTTTGAGTGTGGAGCACTTGATCATCTTCGCTCGCATTGTCCTAAGCTTGGGAGAGGAAAGAAGGAATATGATGGTAGAATCAAAGATGATGACATGAACAAGAAGAAGAACGTGAAAGAGAAGGAGAAGAAGAAGCATTGTATGCAGTGGTTAATCCA